CAGACAACATAAGCAGCTCTTGCAGATAAATCTGGGCATGTAAAGTGCTTTCTTTACATTTCAGTCCTATCTGAGATACTCCCCAGTATTTCCTGGCATATCAAGAGAGGTTTGGCATGGTAACTGTGGAGGAGGGGTGAGCAGGGAATGGTGATAATATTGGCTTTAGCATTTGGTGTCAGGAGAACATCCACCCCGCGATCTGTATCTTGTTTGGGTGGAAATATGGTGTTAATTATCTTCATGACAGATGGATCTGGCAATTCATTTCAGCTGCTTTAGATCATACATTCCTCTGGCTGGTAGATCTTCAGAAAATAGAGAAATAGATCTTCAAGATGAAGGAAGGAATGCCATAATAAGGACAGATGTTGCCACGAAATTTAGAGTATTGCATTCAGCAAGGACCTAGGTTTACCTATCATAATTGTGATATTCATATTATTCCAGCCCAGTTCAGCTGGGCCTGTGTCATGTACAAGCAGTCTTCCTATTGAGCTCAGGGGCTAAAAAGCACACCAATAATGGGCTGTAGAGAATTATTGCTCATTATGAACAGCCACTGCTGATTCTCCAGCCTCTCTGCTTGTTCATTGTTGTAGGAATTTACCAAATATTTCACATACATTCTAAGAACTACTCATCATCTGCGGTTTCTGACAAGTCACTTGTCACACGCCCTTCTGACCAGACAGCAGTAACAAATGGCCAATGCATTGAGAACACAAATTTTGTAACAAACAATTGTTTTAGATAAAGCACAATGCTAAAGTACATGAACTGCTAAGGACTCACAGCAGCCCTGCAGCTACCTGCGATCTTGGTGATGATGATGATTTCTCAGTCATTCTGCAATCACTCCAAGAAGCCCTAGTGAGATCTGCCCTCCATCATCTTCGGCGTGGAGTTAAAACACAGTAAATGAGACGGAGTTTACAAGCTTAGTGCTGAATGGAACTCCTGATTCCAACAAAATATTTGAAAATATTGTACTTACTCAAACAACTGCTGAATGCATATGATGTCCCTTCCAACATACAGTCCCTTCCAACCAAACAAGCAAAATAAAAGTTTTATCTATAGAATATAGGTGTAAAATAGCCAAAAACTGAGAACGAAAACATATTCGCTGCATAAGAAAATGCAGGTTTCTTGCTCAGTCTCTTTTTTTTCTTTCTTTTTTGCATATTAATGCAGTATCTCTATGTGTCACCTAGGTACTAACACTCTAGCAGTGCAGGAATGGCTCAGATTAATATATCACAGGACAGCATGCTTGCTTCTCAGTGCTGTTCAACTCTGCAAAACCAAAACTCACACCAGGGCTTCATGCTGGGATGCTTTCTAAGGTTATTTCAGTCAATGCCTTTATCTTGAAAAAAGTCTCCAGGTTAACATCACAAAGATGACCCAATCCATCACTGTCAACCAGGTTTTGAGGTTCCCTACGAAGCCTGTGGCAGAAAGTTGGGAAAAGTTCTGATTCTAATAAACTTTTCCAGTTATTCTGACAGCTTTCCAAAGCTAACCTCGGCATCTCCCAGCTTGGCCAGCCAGAAGGGTGAGTGCAGATCTCACCAGCACAGCGGATGCTCACTGCTGACAAATCTGGCTACTGGGAGAGCAATGGGGAACATGGGCTGCTCACCCCAGATGGTCCCCACAGGACTGACACCTAACTGTACCTGTGACACTCTCAGGAGAGCTTCTGGTTGTAGGTATTCTCACTAAGCTCTTAAAAAATCAGTGCTTGCTATAAATGAATGCAACAGCAACAATTACTTTCCACCTGCAACGATGTGAGCGTAACCGCACAACAGTAAGGGCAAAACAATTACCACGTTCACCGTTGTGACTATCTCACACATTATTTCTAGAGAACAGCCAGAGTGAGACCCTCCATGTAAGCGCACAACCTGAACTTTGGATTAAACTGTGAGCTGAGACTTTGAGATTTGCAGATGAGGCTCCTTATCTCTCGCTGCGGTGTAAAGACTCAGCAGTTCTGCGCTGCACCTGGCCTGACCTCTTTTTTACCCCCCTGATTTATTTAGCTTTCGGCTCTCTTCTTAGGCTCTGACTCCCACTTTGTATCACAGATACCCACAATTCTGGCTGATCACGCTCAGTGGAATTGAGTGTATCTTGCCTGGCTTCTGGAAGGTCCAAGGGTAAGGTCCTGTCCCTTAGAAATGATTGTTAGCCTCAGCTTGAGCCAAGAGCTGAGATTAACATCCAGCTTGAGAACAGAAGGTCTGGCATTATTTTGCATTTCTTAATAAAAGGTTTCCACTGTTCTAGTTATTTACTCTCCTCTGTGGAGCACCCAGTGCTGACTAGGCAAGGGCTATCCATTAAAGGCTGCCTCTCCTCTCAGCTTAAAGAGAAGTTCCCTCTCTTTGACGGGAAGAAGGTAGGAGAAATTAATTTTTCTTTCAGCATCGCCACACCTGGGGAAAGGATCTTGCTCACACATAACAGTGCAAGCAAATATTTTCTTTGGGAGAAAAAGAGCAAGTGAAGATCAAGGTCAGAGGATGAAAGAGTAAAGATACAGGATTGCCTTCAAAATAACCTTCCGTAGAACATGTGGGGGGGTCATTTTATTTAATATGGAAAACATGCAAAAGCATAAAGGAGGGGTAACTGGCTTGGGGCTTACAGGGAGATAAAGGGGCTGCGAAGTCTGGTTGCACAGATATGCTGAATTCCAGCTGTACACTATGAGACAAACAGGCAGATGAGAACAGGTCAAGAGAGATTTAATTTACCTCTGCACATATATATGTACATAGGAGCAACCCCTCTGTCCCTGCCTCCCCTAATGCACCTTCCCTCCTTCCTGCTCACAGAGTATAAGGACTGTGACTAACAAGGTGCTAATGGAAAATTCATCCCGCCTTTGCCTCTACCGCATAACCACATCCCCACGCAGAGTTTTGGGGAGTTTACTGTGTCTCAAGGTATGGCCCAGCAGCAGCCTGGACACAGCATCAGCCCGTGAATCTCCATGACCCCCATCACCAGAGGACATGGAGCAGTGCTGTGCACACATGCATAGTAGGATTAAAAAAAATAAAATCACCCCACTCTTCAAGATTTCAAACACATGCCAAAATCTTAAATCAAAACCAACTACAAAGGCTTAAGAATCTGTGTGCTTGACTCCTTACTCAGTGACTAAAAACTTCATTTTAGCTTTCCAAGCATCTCATTGCAGCTCCCTGGCAGGATTTTCCCTATAGTCCCTGGAAAGACACAATGTCAGGCCAGCTAGACTAGAGGGTTTGGTTCGGTTGGCTGTGCCAGCCTCCAGGAGCACCCGTTTCTGTCTACTGATCACAGGTAGAGCCCAGAAAGACTAACTTAAAATTTAGGTTTGATGTTTAGCTTTCTATATATCCAGGTGAGATATACAGGCAGGTACAGGGATGTTACCCCATATGATTCATTCAATGACGCACAGGAAACCTGTCATTTAATCCCTGGCTACTGATGTAATTATTAGAGCACCCTTTCACTTCAGATGGCTACAAGCCAGAATTGACCCACAAAATCATAGTAAAAGACATGGGAATAGAGCTCAGAATGAAAGTTATGTTTTGGGTTGGTTTTTTGGTTTTTTTTTTCACATTTTGTTATGAACTCTAAACTGGACCTGTTTCTGTGGGAACTTGTGCTAAGGTATGCAAATATTTCAAACGAAACCAGTCCCATTTTCCAATGAGAATGGGCCAGGTTTCAGGCAAAGATGCTTTCACAGCAAAACCATGGGAAAATTCACCATTTTCTGTGTTTCCAATATGCCAATATTCATCTCATGTTAAGTGCCAGCAATTGTTGGAACAAGGCTACAACCCAAGAAAGCACTTAAGCACATGCCTAACATGAGTAACCTTAGTGACGTCCTGGGTTTTGTTTTCACATTCCCTATTGTTAGTTACCTTGAATTTTTAACTCCGTAGGGACAATCTGCATCTTCTGAGCTGTATAATTGGGCCATGAAAGGGATGGTAGCTCATGATTACTGAATTGTTAATTAATCATTTTTATTACATTTAAATATGCTTCAGAAGACCATAATGATGTATGCTTCCTTGATATTAGCTGTACTAATTAGATCATCTTTTCTAAATTAGAGTGCAGTTTTCTTAGCAGGTTTCCTTTTATCTGGTGTTCATTTTTCAAAAGAGCTTCATGTTGTTCCCACAGATGAGTGAATCATTTCCAGGGAATCATGTTATGCAAAAGATGTTTTTCTTGCTGCCAGAGAATGCCTACAGACAGATCATGGATCTTCTTGAAATCGTTAAGTATTTTGAAGTTGGACTTTCCTCAGCAATCATGCATTCCTTGACAAGATGAGCATAACTGCACCTGGGATGAAACTCAGTCCCTACAACAAACTAGTACATTTGGCACGTTTACAATGTTAGAACAATCCTGCTCCATCACTGTTTTAGTGACACATGGAAGCAAAAAATGAAAGTGGCTGAAATACATTGATACACCTGAACATGCAAGTGTATATATATATATATATATTTATTTTTGCATTCTTTCTCTAGTGTTCCATTTGTGCTCCAGCACTGAACGCCATTCTTTCTCCTCCATCAAAACATTACTTTCAAAAGATTTCTTAGAAAATTATGTCCATGTTACTCCAGAGGTCCTCACTTGGGTTATCTTTATCATAGCTCAGGTAGTTTGCAATATCCTTTCTGGTTAAGGAAAGCCTGAATTTCATGTCTCTGCACAACTAGCCAGGAAATTTCTCTAAAACAACTCATAAAATCCTAGGCTATTTCATCTGAGTGTGATGCTCCTGGTTCCAGAGAGAAATGATGAAAATAACCTCTCTTGGTGATACTTGGTACATCTATCTAGTTCAAAATCCTACCAACCAACTGCGATACTGGACATTACCAGGATGAGAAGAACAGATTTTATTTTTTTTTTCTGAATAAGTCTATTCAAGATCTCTGGAAAGCAGTACTCACGTGTCAACAAATCTCCTGCTCAGGTTTGAGATGACAACTGAAGATCCAAACTGGAAAGGAGGGTCCCGAACCACTTTGTACTGGATGGGTTTGCAGTCTGCACACAGCGTGCTGTGGGGAACAGAGCTCAGCATGGCAGCATCAATTTCTAGGTGCTCATCCAGAGTGTAGATCTGGATCCCGTACACCTCCTCGGCCACTTGTCTCTCATCCAGTTTGATGGTCAATGGGATGTCGCAAAAGACGTTCTGCGGCCCGAGAGAAATGTTCTTCCCACTGACAGTGAGCAACCTGATGTCATTCACCGCTCCGCTGGAGTCCCAGTCTGGGGAAACAAACGTCACCCAGATGGTGAGGGACTCTGGAGTGAGGGGATAACGAAATTCCAGCTGCAGGTAGCAGCCCTGAGGCTCCGGACAGGCTGGGGGCACCGTGTGTTGGTTGACTGCCGAGTTGGGACTCCACGTCCTGACACTGGATTTACAAGGCTGCTCAACATCAGGGTGCCCTGAAAAGAAGGAAGGAAGCAAAGACAGGGCAACAAAATAAATTAGAGAACATGTGGCATCATTAGCATCAGTCTTGATAGACTAACTGGTGGCAGGAGAGCATATCTGGTCAGGAAACTAATTATTTACTTGAGCAGAACAGGCATGGCCAGCATGGAGAGGAGGAATCTAACGCCAACGTCTCCTGGCCAGGTGAGACACAAACCCAGCTTCAGTGCCTGGCTGGACACCACAGGACACACACTGTGCCAGTGCATCTGGTCGTGTATTCACTATTTCTAGTGCCCTCCCCTGTGCCAAACAATATTTCCTACCACTCCCACTTGGCACTGTACCTGATAAACAGTCACTCTGCCTTCAGTTCACCTCTGCGCTCCTACTTATTCCCTTGCCTCTCACTCTGAAATACCACCTTCTGCCCTTTAACAAAGACAAGAAAAGAGCTTTTGTTGACTCCAATAAGCTGCTGCAGGCACCTCCTATGCCATTTCCAGGCTACTCTAGCAGGTTGTGCAAGACCTCTCCTTTGGAAGAGCACAGGTCTGAGCTGTCTCTTTGCGCTCGTCCTGATGAAACAACAGGCACTTGTACTTCTACATTTCTCACCGTTAGCTATGTTCAACTACATGGGAGGTATTACTGAAAACCAATGAAAGCCACAACGCTTGCTGGGTTCCCAAATACTACACTAACACTATAATTTGGCACAGAGACATGGACTGCGAGATCCAGAGAGGTCAGATGGGTGGAACAGTTGGTAACAGAATCCAGTGAGAGCTATAAATTCCCTCTTCCTTCCCAAATAATCACACAAAAAGGGAGCAAGCAGGACAGAGAGAAAGCAGAAAAGAAGAAAGGGAAAAGTAAAGATAAAGAAAGGTAACGAGAGGGGAGAAATGGAGAAGACAGAGGGGAAAAAAAAAAAAAGAGAGTACAGCTGTTTGCAACTGAGGAAGAAAGCAAGACAAAGCACTGGGCAAACACGAGCAAACAGGACATCACTGCTAATTTAAAGAGAAAAGGGCAATGTGTGAAGGTTATTCTTGTTGTCTGTGATCCAGCGAAGTGTTAGAAATGTGCCTCTTTTGTCAGGGATAAACAGCACAGGGAATTCTCCTGTTCGTACCAAATGAACCCAGATCCAGAAGAGATCACCTGCTATCTCAGCCAGCCTTCCCCGTGATCCAACACAATTGTCCTGCAGATGCACAACTTTTAACGCTTCTTCCTCACCCACACATGCCCCATAGCCCTCCTCTCCTCCTCGCACGCCGTGGCATAGCGGGAATGCCACTAACCCCAGCATCTGGAGAGACCACAGCAGCGATACATTTTGAAGAAAGCCAGAGTTCCATTTAACACGCTCAAGTTTTTTCCCCCTGGCAAGGTTGCAAGTACTGCGTATAATCACCCTGAGCAGCGAATACCCCATTCGACTCATGTTGTCTCACAACACTCGCTGCCATCCCGCATGTGCTCGGCTGGACCCTCCGGTGACTTTCTCGCAGACTCTCCTGACTGCAGCCCTAAGAAGGTGGTTTTTAACCCCAGTATCTCAAAGCGCTTTGAAAAGACTTGTGAATCTTTGTGCTGTCATCTCACACATAGGAAAACAGAGCTGATTAAAGGCTCACAGCCTCGTATATTTTTCAAAAGTGATCGTCACTTGGATTCCTGCAAGCTCACTTCTGCCAGTTCAAGGCCTTTCTAAGACTTAAATAGCGAATAAACCTGTGTTTTGGTAGATCAGGGTGTGATTCCCAGAGTTAGATGAAGTGGGGGGAGGCTTCCCCCAAACCATCAGCTGCAGCCCGGTGTGTCACACAGGGAAGTGGCTGGGATGAACACCCCTCCGTCACCCCAGCACTTGGACAGAGACTTGACACCCTTGTATGGGGAGGGAGCTGGGATCATCAGCCTCTCGGGATGCCGCCGCTGTCACAACTACATCCCACCTGCCACGTTTCTTATGTGGTCAAGACATGGGGACCATCCAGTGACACTCTAACATCCAACTGAGAAAATTCAGCTTGCAAATACAGAATGAATCACTCTCGAGTGAAATATTGGCCACTGGGAAAGGCAGGGCACTAGAGCCACCTAAGGCAACAAGGTTTTGTATGATATTCTCACACTTCTTTCAGTCAGTAGTGAGCCAGCCAGTAGGAACTGACTGATATATGCATATATTGCAGTTAGCAAAGGTACTTACTTGGGTTTGAGCCAAAAAATCACCTTTCATATATAAAAAACCCCTTTGACCACGTTGTGGAGGTGCTGTAAGGTTTGTTTATCTAGCTGGTGCTGCTGGTGAGAATCCGGGTAGGGCAGAACTTTCTTGCTCTATGGTGAAGGCAAAGAGTAAATCAGAGCTGTCTGACCTCTAGTGCCTTACCACAACTGCTGCCAAGGAGCAAACAGCTGCTTCTGCAAGAGGCACAACTGGCTGAGAAAGAACCACAAAATGGGGTTGGACCCCACCACGCTCAGGCACAAGGAAGGACACAGTCCCCACGGCAGAGTTTTGTGATGGGGAGAGCTCGCACGTTGTCCACATCACAGCTGGTGTCAGCTATCTGGGGTAACTGCGGCATAACAATGCTATGAGACCTCCGGAAAATGAAGTCAGAGCAACCAGGTTCAGGGCTGCTTCGGAGACATGTGAGAAATGTGGTTTTCTGGTAGGGAGCTGGATAAGTACTACGAAACATTTTCCATGAGTGTCGTCTCAAATTTTAAAATGAGTTCATTTTGGCCATGCTTATGGCCCTTTGGTATTCACTTTCCACGAACATTCAAGCAGTGGAGATTTACACACACGGACGCTTGCAGAAAGTGAATTTAAAGCTTGCACGCTTGAGTACTCACAGATAGACAATTAAAGAAGCCAGACAATGATCCAACTGTGCTATTTGTAACTCAGACCAAGTGCAAATAGGCAGAGAACCTGAATGTCAGGGAGTGTGGCAGTGATGATAGAAAATTACAGAGCAACAAACACCATACAGCTGGTATATTTTCTACCCTAAAGTAGAGACAACTTCTTAACATAGTAAGAGGATACGACTCCCAAATTTTCTTTCCAGAGCAATGGCACAACAGCACTTGCATCAGACAGATAAGGATCAGACTGCACCCTTCGTAGTTAAGAACATGCAGGCACACACTGTAAGAAGAGGAAATTAAATGCAAAATGAAGCTGAGTAATAAATCTTAGAGTAGCTTAGTTTCTCTAGGAATGATGCCGCTGGCAAGACGTGTGAGATCTAGAAGTTTTCAAACCAGAGCTCATTGGAGAAATTTTGACGGAGCTGCGTATCTCAATGGAATACACAGTCCTTTCAAAATCAAAACAGTGCAAAATTGGGTTTATTTGGCCAAAATTTTATTCTGGAAAAGAGAATGGGAAGAAAGTTCTAACAATATTGGAACATTCTGTTTTGACGATTTTGGAAGAAATCGTTCCACTTTTGCACTTTGAAACACTTTAATATTAAAAGTTACTTTTGCCCTAGATTATATACTAAAAGGGGATATTTTCAAATGTCATAATTTAACCAAAGTTCATGAAAGAGGAATTATATGAGCTAAACAAAACAGTTTGGCCAGCCTCAAACACTTTTTGTTTTTAATTTTCCTTCCCAGAGAATTTCAAAAGTTTCAGGTTTTGTTCCAAACGAAACCAGGTTTCAGTCCTGTAATCCTTGGCTCAGTGGAAATTCTACCTTCCACCCTGCAAGCGACCCAAACTTCACTAATCCTGTTTACTTGATAATCCGGTCGCACTCGTAGCCAGAGCACTGCTTCCCAGGTTGAAGCTCTTGAACAACCTCCACCCAAGGGGCAGGCGTGCTCTGCACTGTGCCTGCCAGCCTGGTCCTTTGGATGTCCCAGCTCGGGGGTGAACTGGAGTGAACCACAACCTCTCTTGGGCTACCACCCTGGGATGCTTGTCCACACATCTTGTCCCATCATGCAGTGGGGACACAGCTTGCTGCACATGCTGACCTTGGGACTAGGGAGGGCTCCTGGGTGCCAGCACTGCATACATCACCATATTAGCTTACAAATAATCTTCCTTGTAGAATAACTTCCATGTACTCTAGTTGCAGGACAGAGAAGCCCTTAATGTAAGAAGGTATTTGTATAATGAGTTTGCAAAATCCAGGGCTTGCCCTTTGAGTTCAGTGAGCCCACCTGCACGTTTACACTGAAGTCGGAGGCCAGCATGTGCTGCTCCCGAAGGAATAGCTCACGATGGACAGATTGAAATAATATTCTGCTCTTTCCAAAACGTAATTTGTGATTACTGACCTCTTCCTGGTATTATCTTAAATAGTGCTCTGCCACACTCACCTACTTACGTAATGGAAGGTACGTAAGGCGGAGAGTTAATGATGGAGATCTAATAGCACTGTACCACCAGCTCTGTGGACCATTCTCCCTCCAACATGCTCGAAGAGGAGAAGTATGACTTGCAAAACACCCTGAACTAGACTGGGCTTGACGTAGTCACCTGCGTTCACGCTGCCGAGTACTTGCCCAAAGGGCAATCTCCACTCCTTTCGGCGTGTCTGCTGGTGCAGCCCATTACGACTCAACGCAAGCAAAGGCAGCAGAAATCAGGCCCAAATAAATAACATGCAATTCTTTACTTTTGGAGCTGGAGTAGAAGGAGTAAACAGTTCCCCTGAGGAATCCATCTGGCAGATGCGAATGGTCAGTATTTCTTGGCACTCTGCTGCTTTGAGAAACTCAAGTTCAGCTCCCGGAATTCATTTAATTCATGGGCAGTGTCAGGATACAGGTGTTTCAGCCGGTGGCATTAGTTTGGGGCACAGTGTATTCATCTGTCCTCTAGTTTTGCTCATGCTATGTACAGATATAATCACTCACTCTCTCACAGATTTTCCCACTTTCTTTGTGGCTCTTCTTTTTCTCTGGCCCAACTTCTCCCCCACCACGTCTTTGTCCCCAGCCCCGGGACTCACCTTCTGCTTCCCGCGGGCTCCAGTGCCCCGAGGGATCGCAGGGCATCGGGGAAGAGGCGCTGAAGGCGTATTGCACCAGGACTCTTCCTTCCGCACACAGATCACATGCTGATCCCACTTCTCTAGGAGGCCAGGAAAACAGGAAAACACACCAACTTAGTAACAGCTGAATGAGCTGCTTATTCAACTATATTAAAAGCAATAAGACTTAGAACTCAGTCCCACTTAACCCTCTCTTCTCACAGCACTGACAAGAGCATTTTCTGGCACTGACCTGCTGTAGGTTTGGGCTAATGGCCTGCGTAGATGACATCTGTGAGTCCGCCATCCAACACAAAATGACAGCAACCTGTGAAATCACGCTCAGCTACATTTTTTTTTTTTTTTTTTTTTTTTTTTTTTTTTTCACTGTCC